GAGAAGCCATAAATTTTTGATACAGAATGAAGAAAGTATATTTTAATATGCTCCACGTATCAAAAGTAAATTATACAGCAGTACAGAATCTGCAGAAGGAGCCAAGTGAACATGCGTAACTGATTTCAGCAGCAATTTGTTCAAACCTAATCCTTAAAGTTTTTTAAAAATCATTTCTGAAACAAATTTTAAAAAAATAAAAAGCACATTTTTGATGCCTGATTAAATCACTACTTTCTTCAGAAGCTATAGTATATAGCAATGGTAATAACTACGAATACTAAGTACTTCGTACTTAGACATTCACTACATGCGTTACTTCACATAGTCTTCCTTCCGACCAACATAAGAGGATTCCTGTCACTTTGCCATTAAAGAAAATAAAAATGAGGCACAGAAAGTAAATTACTAAAGACCCACAGTTAGTAAGTGATAAAGAATGCAAATCCAGACAGTGCCAACAGGCAATATTAACTAAAATACATGACTAAATGCAAAATAAACTTGAACACAAGGAGATTCATCATTTGCCCTATGGAAACATTACACAATATTTTATCAACTTGAATATATTCACATAGCGATAATATAGATGCAGCTATCAAATGTTGAATAGCAATTTTAATTTAAATAACCATAAAGAATTACATATCACATCAAAGAACATAGTCATCATAATTATTGCCTTTTCTATATTCATGTTTTATGATACAGTAACAATACAGCTCAGTGGCTTAGCACTAGGATTCAGGAAACAGACTGAGCTCAAATCTCTGGTCTATTACTTTATAATGTTTGACAAACAATCTACATTGTTCACAGTTTCCTCATGTATTAAACAGGAGTTATCATTGTTGATAAACTTGTACTCTGTTCTACACCATGTGCTATGTCTATCCTTGGTATTGACTGACAGCTTTGTTTTGCCATATTTGACTGTATTCTTCCCCCCCCCCAAAGAAAGTAATAAGCACTAAGGAGTAATAAAATCCAAGATGTGTAAATTTTGTTGTAAAAAAAAGAGGGGAAAAAAAAAGAAAAAGAGCTCTAACGGATATAACAGCAAGTGTGTTTGGGGGTGTTAAATAGCTGACTTTATCAATGTTTTTGGAACATTGAACACAGCTGTTTGCAGTCTCCCTGTTTGAATGTCCACCTTGTGTTCTTTGATACTGTGATTTGAGGAACTATTTTCAAGAAGATAGTGTGTAATCTACTAGCAGGTGATTTCTTACTGTTATGTTTTTTTGTTTTGTTTTGTTTTGTTTTGTTTTGTTTTGTTTGTAGTTCTGTATTGCGTGTACCCTTACGCCGCTTTGGTTTGTTTTGTGTTTTTCTCTTTTTCCTCTTAAATAAAAAAAAATAAAATAAAATAAACAGGAGTTATACAGAACCTACCTCCCTAGGCGACTGGAGTAACTGAGTTAAAAGCGGCAAGTGCTTACAGCAGTGCCTAACACAGTGAATACATACAGGCATGAGTTACTACACTGTTCAAATGCTTCACTTTCACCTGAGACACCAGTGGCTTGGCCATCACTAAAAGCCAGATGAAAGCCAGGCATGGTGGCACACGCCCATAATCTCAGCACTTGGGAGACTGAGGCAGGAGGATTGTTGCAAACTTGAGACCAGCCTGAGCTACAAAGTGAGTTCAAGCCCATCCTGAACAGCACAGTGAGACCCTGTTTCAAAAAAAAAAAAAAACAGATAAAGATCTCCAAGGCTGTTTTTCATATTCTCTTTCTTTCTGTGTAAGTTACTGTAAATATTTTTAGTGCTGTCATTGAAATTCTTACTCTAAACTAGAATGTTCATTCATGTAACATTTGAAATGTGTTTATTTAAGTGACTACTTACAGATCTGCAGATCTGCTTTAGAAAGGCTATTTACTTATAGTAGTGGGGAAAGACATCAGGACCTTCATTTTTTTTGTTTTTAAAGCAGTACTTGCAATATTAAAGTCACTGCCCAAAGAATAATTATTAAATCAGGGTTAAATTTCTTTGCCTCTTGTAAACCAGTTCTATCCAAAAGTATCCAATACTATTGCAGGCAAATTTGTCTTCCTCAAGCAACAATATATTGTCCAAGGTAAAATAATTAAAATAGCAAAAACAAAATTTGAATAGTATATCTTTAAAAAGTCAACTCAATGAAACATTTTTTTTTGTCTTTTTCGTTTTTATCAGTACCAGGGATCGAAATCACGACTGCCTGCTTGCAAGGCAGGTGCTTATGCCGCTGAGCTAAATCCCCAGCCCTCAGTGAAACATTTTTTAAGGGATAAAGGATAATTGGGGGGGGGATATAGCCATCATATTTGGGACATGGGGTTACACAGTTAATATGCAAGAATAGTGAAAATGGACATTCAGCAATTATATTCATTTTTACTAGTATTAGGTTTCACTATTACTTGACATGATATGGGCACAGCTGTCAAGCCCTCATCTTGATGCTTGCAGATATCACTGATGGTAGGGAAAAATGCCCATTTTCATACATACTTTTTTGACATAATCTCCCATAACATAATACCTATAAAACAGAGGGCAAAGAAGTTGTTTCTAAAATACCTACACACAATTTCACTGCCATCCTAAGAAAACACTTACTTGTATGTGTATGTAATGTCTACAAAAGAGTTATTGTGTATACTAGCATACTGTCAAGCTAGGTAAAATATATTATTTGTGATTAGAATGTCCTTTTCTTTTCAGTTACAAGTTTGGTGATTGATACATGAGAACTCAGAGCAGCAGAGAGCAGCTGTTAATAGGCTCCAATTCACATTCTAACAATCTGTTGAGGCTTTCTTCTAAAAAAAAAACACAACTCAATGACTTCCACAGACCTTGGAATATGAACCAAGTTCTTTAGCTTTCCTTATTATAACATTCTGGAACCTATCCCAGACAAGGTAAGCAACATAAAAAACATTTTCCAAACAGAAAGGCCTACATAATAAGCCATAAAATTAACTGAGGTTATCAAAATCTCCAGAGATTTCTATAGGATACCTTAGTTTATGTTTTGAACAAAATGGAAAGTTAAATCAGTAAATTAGATTCTTGCTTGGTTTCTCAATTGGGGCAGGAATTTGAAGAGAAAAAATGAAATATGTAAGTATGATAACTACTTTCACAGAAACAAAATTTGAATACCATTTATATCTAACAATGCATTCCTAAGCAGCCAAGGCTTATTTAATCTTCATATCCTTATATTTCATTGAAGTTTGAGAGTTTTGTGTCTTTTGGATAGGAAGAAATAAAAGCAACAGATGAAAAAAACAGAAACTAGGTTTTAAAGCATAAAATCATTAAGTAAATTGATATATTATTGCATACTATTGAGAACTAGAACAGTTTCATGAATACATGATACATGATACAAGAATGCAACCATATACATTGTCAGACAAATTGGGATATTCCTAAGAATGAAAAGGAGGCACTATTAATAATTATGTTGTGGAAAAGGTGTAAAATGGGATGGGATAGTCTCCAGTAAACCATAATGTGATTATTTACCTAAAGTTGTACACATGGTACCTGCATCAGTACATGCTAAAGTGATTGGTAATAAGCGATATATAGTTGAATGAGTGATGTCAGAAATTCACTGGTAAGACTTCAAAGTGTCTCTCAAGTAGACTGCTGGGGTTTTTTTGGTTTGGTTGCCACATCCTTCTTGATATTTTTGTTTGAAAGGGAATACTTTTTATTTTTTGGCTGGGGAATTGAAGGAAAAGTTTTAACCAGTAAAATTTTATTATTCCTTTGGAAACTGGCCACACAACATCAGTCTTGAGTTATTGTGTGAAAAATACACTATTCTGAACAAAGAGTATAATGAAAATGCTCACCATGTAAATTTTAGTGTTATCTTAAAGACAGTGCTGCTTATAGATTAAAAGCATGGTGTTTAGAGTTACAGCATTCAGGATTCCAGCACACTGAGAAAGTAATTTAACACAGTAGTCAAGCAATCTTTTTCAAAAGGACGCCACCATCTAGTCATGTCACCTGTCAGTTCCTAATCTTAAATGCTTTCCCATTTCTTTTAGGATCACCACCCAAATCATAAAAGATTTTCCGTTTCCTGGCTTCTATCATTCCAGCCTCAATTTCTGGGCCTTTCCTTTCATTTGCTTCACCTTGGCTTCATTTCAGTTAAGTGGTTCCCAAACTGGGCTAAAGTTACTTCCTAAAGAATATCTAGCAATGCCTGGAATCAAATTGTTGGTATTCACAACATGGGGGAAGGGCTGCTAACTGAACACTAGTGATAGAGACCAAGGACGCTGGGAAACACGCTACAGAAAGAATCCTCTGCATGTCGCAGTGTAGATTCAGAAACTCTACTAAACTAGTTTTTACTGTTCCCCTTACCTTTTTCCTTTCTTAAATCATCTCCCTTTGGAACACTTCCCTCTCAGAGTGGGTTTCCAAACATACCTTCCTAAATAAGTATTTTCTCTTTAAAGAATTATGAGGCATTAAGAAAATTAACAGCTACTCTACATGTATTTGTGTCCGATTATCCCTGTCCCGCAGGAGACCTAGCTGGTATTCACCATGTACCCCTAGCAGCTAGCAGAGAATAAACAAACTCTTTAAGTTTCACTTAGAAAAAAACAAGAGTACGAACTTAATTGGGGCTGTGAAGATTAAATAATACCTATAAACTCTTTAGTACTGTGCCTAAATCACATTAAGAGAAAGCAGCAGTCTCTTAAGAGACAGTGGATAGCAGAGGGGGGCTCTGTCAATTTAATTTAGGCATTTTTCCGCTTTGCTCCCGGTCCGAGGCCAGCGAAGGAAGGAAGCATCCTACTGAACTATTACCTAGCAATTGCGGGGCGCGAATCTTCCGGCCTCTGCCGCGAACCAGACCGCTGGGAGCACTTTCCCTCTTCCTATTGGTCCATCCCGGGGCCAGTCAGTTGATATTGCGCATGTGCCATACCCTTTTCCGGTCCTTTAGCTCCGCCCATCGTCCAATCGGAGGGCGCAAAACTTGCCAACACGTCCGCACTAGCCGGCGTGCCCCGGAAGCTGTTCTTTGGCCCTGTGACACGTAGCGACAGACTAGTGTACGTTTTGGAGTTGAATTTAGGGGTTATTTGGGGCCGCCGGTGCTTCAACTGCTGCCGCCACTGCTCCCTCCGCCTTTGGTGAGTGTCCTAGGTCCGTCGCACACTTTCTGGCTTCCCTCGATAGCTGTGCGGCGCAGTTTGTTGCCCTCTCTCGGCGCGGCTCCCGCTTTGGTCCTCACGCTCAGGTCTCACTCCCGTTCAGTTCCTTTTCTGACGCGGCCCCTGCACCTCATACGTGACCTTTCGGCGTTCTGCGCTTTCCAAGCAGGTTATGAGCTTTGTTTTGCAAGGCGGTATTCATGTCGTCCCTGTAAAGCTCTATTGCAAGATGAGGAGTCATCTTTGTTGCTGATACTTTAAGTCGCTGTAGAGCCACTCCTTCCACGACCTCGCCCCTACCTAAGGCTCAGAGCTCCTTGAGGGCCGATTGTCTTCTTGGGCTTCGAGTCAGAGAGTAGAAATTTCCTTAAGTCTCTCCGAATGCTGCTCCCTACTGTTAGAGAGGAAACGTTTACCGTGTTCTCTGGGTATTTGCTTAACCAGAGCGGCGGGAATAAATTCGATGGGACTTGGGCGTAAACAATGCCATTTTTCTTCTGTTACAGATCTTTTACGATGTCAGGTTTTGATAATTTAAACACAGATTTCTACCAGACAAGTTACAGCATCGATGACCCTTCTCAACAGTCCTATGACTATGGAGGAAGTGGAGGACCCTATAGCAAGTAACTTTTCAGCTTTGACAATTTATATAGTTTACACTACAGTGAAAGCATGTGTTTAGAATGTTTGATTCTGCTTAAAATTAAATGTGAATATGTCGCTTTTTAGGAATGTCATTTTTGTCTCAATCTTATTTGATCTGGAGAGATAAATGACACATTTAGGTGTGAAGGGATTACCCGGTTTAGAATTAGGTATCTTCTGAAAGCCTAATGCACCAGCATGAAAAAGCAGCTTTTAGTAACAATATTTCTACGGTATTTAAGATGAGGATGGGAACTTCAGGTAATTATTTAAGCTATTTAGTCAAATTTTACGTTTAACAGTTCAAGGTCCAAAAATGTTTGTGTCCTTTTAAATTTGGAACTGGTAACTTCTGTGACACTGACCATAATGTATCTTTTGTAAAGAATTAAAATGATAATTACTCTATGAAAATCTCTAGATTTCCATTGTTAAGCACTGTCATTAAGCACTTTCAATTAAAATTGATAGTCTGAAGGTCAGAATGATAATAGTGCCAAAAAATCCGTTAAACTTTTTCAATATTTAACTAGTTCTATAAGCTAAGTAGTTTAGATAATTAGGCAGAATTGGAAAAATTAAGTTGAAAGATTTTCATTATCAAAATATGTATTTTCTGTTGTTGTTGAGTATTTTGTGTGGAAGGGCAAATATTATTATTTCTTTTTTTTTTTTTTTTTGCGGTACTGGGGATTGAACTCATGACCTCACACTTGCCAGGCAGGCACTTATGCCACTGAGCTATATCCCCAGTCCGGAAGGGCAAATATTATTGACCAAAATCCATCTAGTAAATCATTGCTAGTATCAGCAAGGACATTGAAGAGTCTTTGTCTGTCTATGCTAACCTGTTTTTAATCAGATGACTTTCATCTTTAGAGTAAGCAGAAGTCCTTTATTTAGATTGCAGGCTTGCAGATTTATTTGTGGGGTTTTTTTCTATCCTGTCCATATTTGTATCACTTGAAGATGTAATTTATCCTGTTATCCAGTTTCAGTTGTCCACAGAGCAGCTATTACTGACCATCCTCAAAATTCCATTCCAACCAAATCATGTGCTAGTGAAAATTGCTTCAGTACTAATGAAGACGTTGTATTCTGGATAATTAATTATTAGCACCAGTTACTAAATAAGAGTAGATAGATAATGTTTGGAAAACCAAAAGATGTGATGTATTAGTCATAATAAATGTGACACGCTGAGGTCACATTACAAAAAAATTTGGACTCTTTTCCTTCTATGTGTACCTTCAAATAGATGTGCAGCATATTATTTTAAATATCCAGGTGTTTGTCAAGTAATATTTTTCTAACCTGTTTACAACTCTCAGGTCGTGACCTTCAGCTCTCTGTTGTCAAAAGTCTAGGTTCAGATAGCATATTTGGATTGTCTTCATTTTGGCTTGCTAGTCTGTGATTTCTGTATTTGCTCTCTGATGTCAGCTTTCCCGTTTTCTGATTTCCTCTGTAGATATTTCACAAGTGTCATTTATATATTTATATTCCAAATATAAAACTAAAATCAAAAAATCCTTTGATTATAACCTCTTCTTGTTGTGTTTGTGTGTGCATATGTGAAAGAATCATATTGGATATATCCCACGTTATAGTGTAAATATGCTTCTGAAATACATAGTAATATCAATCACTATTTTCTGACATACTGAAAGCCATTATATTTTTATCTTTGACTTAATTGATGATATCTTTATGAAATGTATGAGGATTTTCTAGGGCTGAGGATGTGACTCAGTGGTAGAGCTCTTGCCTTGAATGAAATATATGAGGATTTTCATGAGCGTGAGTAGGTAACTTAGTATAATATGAAAATACTCTATTTGTTGATAATAGAACGCATACGAGAGTATTGACTTAGCATATACAACTTTTTCTGCTGTGAAAGTGTTGCTTTAGTCTGTAAGGATTGTGTGTGTCTGCCATGTCATATATTAGTTTAAAACCAGCAAGAATGAGTCAAAAATTTTCCTAAACAAGTACTGCTGAAAAACACAAATACTAAATCCCATGTTGTTGTCTTTCTCATGTTGCATTTGGAAGATGGGATAATGCTACCTGTGTGTGTGTGTGCGCACGCGCACGCATAAAGACCATAGTGATTCAAAGAGAGAGCAAGCAGTACTCTCTGTTCAAGGTGTGAAACCCTGTGTGTGGATATTTCGATTATAATTTTGTTTTCTTGTTAGTGCAGTACATGTTTATAATGTGAAAGTGATGTTTGGGGGAGTTGGTTCATGCGTATAACATACCTTGATTATTTTCAAATCAGTTTACTCCTTTGTCCCTGTTCTCCTTTCTTGTCTTGGCCCCTTCCTATCTGCAGGAGTCTGTTTTCTAATTTATCTTATTTTAGTCATTCATTTATTATATTTTACGTTCCTCACATAAGAGAAAAATGATATTTTATTAACTTTTTGAGATAGGTATATTTTACGCAGATGATGATGTCTGGTTTCATCCATTTTCCAAAAATGACATGATTTCATGCCTGAATAATACTCAGTTGTGCCTGTATACTACATTTTCATTACCCATTCATCTCTTAGCAGGCATCAAGGCCGTTTCCACAGCTTAGCTGTTGTGAATTGTACCACTGTAAGTATGTCTCTGTCTCTACAATATGATGTCTTTAATTCTTTCTTGAATATACCCAGGAGATAGCTGGGTCAAATATTATTTCTACTTTTTAGATTTTTGAGAATCTCCCTACTGATTACCATACTGGTTGTACTAGTTTATATCTCTACCAGTAATGCAGGAGGGTGCCTTTTTTTCTGTATCTTCACTGGCATTTGTTTTCTGGGTTCTTAATGGTAGCCGGAAATTCTGACTAAGGTAAGATGGAATCCCAAAATTATTTTGATTTACATCCTAGTGGCTGAAGATGTTGAGCATTTTTTCATGTACTTTTTGGCCACAAGTGTTTTTTTCTTTTGCTGAGCAACTTTTTAATTTGATATGATCACATATGTTGACTGTTGGTGCTACTTCCTTTGCTGTTACAGTTGTATACAGGAAGTCTTTGCTTATATCTATGGCTTTAAGTGTTTCCCTCATGCTGTTTCTCAACAGGTTGAAAGTATCTGTTTTTGTATCAGTGTCTTTGATCTGTTTTGTTCTGGTTTCTATACAGATTGAGAGATAGGGGTCTATTTTCAATCTTTTGCAAGAGGCTATCCAGTTTTCCCAGTACTGTTTTTGTTAAAGAAGTTGTCTTCTCCAATGCATATTTTTGGCTTCTTTGTAAAAAATCAGGTGACTGTAGGTGCATGAGGTTGTTTTCTTTGTCTTAAACTGGTCTAGAGGTCTGTGTTTGTGCTAGTACATTGCTTTTGATGCTACCTTTGAAACAATTGCTTAAAGTAATTTCTCTTCCTTACTTGAAATTTATGGATCTACTTCTGTAGTTCTCAGTATAGACTGCAGACCCGAGGCTCCTTGAGACTTCAGGGAGTTTTTAAGGTCAGAAATCATTTTCATAACAATATTAACATATTCTATATCCTTTAGATGTGTTACCATTTGCACTGATATTACAAAACCAGTGTTTGATAAAACTGCTAATACCTAAGTGTGAATCAAGATAGTAACATCAAATTGTTCTCATAGTGACTGTTTTCATTTAAGGATTCCCATAATGGAGCATTAAGAATTTTCATTTTATTAAATCTTGAGCCTCCTTTAATATTGTGTGACAAAATTGGAAACCATCATAAAGCATTCCTGTTCCAAAAGCAAAGTTATGATAGCTCTAGGAAAAGTGCATGCACAGTTGGAGTTGCAAACTGAACCAGATGTTTTTTAGTAAAAGACTGTTTTCTCATATGAAATAGCTGATAGACTGGTCGTTCAGACTTGAGTATTTGGCAGACCTTTTCTCAAAAATGAGTAAGAAAATGTTACTTCGAGAAAAACAATTGACAATATGTGTTGCCGGTGATCAGTTTTTTAGTCAAAAATAAAGATTTTGAAAAAGTTGAAGTCAGTCTGAAATGATCAGTTTTCTGGTAATTAACCATTTTTCTGATAATTAACGGATGTGATCTATTTCATGTAAAAGTAAGTCCATGTTTGAAAGATATGTATAGCTAATAATATTTTCTTGATGACTAATTCATGATGTTGTATAATTATCCATGAGTGAAAGATACAAAGTACACAACAGACTGCAACAGGGCATAAAAAAGTTCATTGATGGTGTTTCAAGTTCTATTTTAGAAAAATACCACTTTGTTTTGAATTTTAATGTGGCATCAAAAATTCATGGTATCTGAAACCTTGTAATACTATTTTCCAACTGCATGTCTGCAACATTGGATGTTCTTAAAGTACTTCAACTAAAACAAAGTATCACAGCAAAAGCATCTATGTAGAAATAGATATAAAAATATCATTCATTAAGCCAGCATCTAATGAGATTTTTAAAACATGATACAGTATAACTTTTCTGTTATTTTTTGTAGTTTTCTTTATAAAAGTGTTTATATTAAAGTGTACTACTTTTAACTAATTAATATTTTAAAAATTAAGCATTTAATTTCTTGTATGGTAAATATTGATAGATAATAACCGCCATAAACAAAAACACTTTGAGGTATAAATATATCTTAAGAATTTAAAGGGACCCTAAGACCAAAAAGTTTGAGAAATACTATTCATTTTGGTTTTATGTTGTTGTGCATTTTTTCTTACCTCTCTGAGAATAAAATACAGTCTGTTTAAACACATAGCAGAAACTGCCATATGGAACTTGTTTTGTGGTTTCATAGACAGATCAGCACAATAGCATATTGTATTAATTCAGGCAGTGTAAATTCTTGCTCTGGTTTAACCAGCTGGTTTAGAGGTTAGTGAACATGTGACAATGAATGACTGCATAGGTGAAAATCATATTTGTGTACAAAAACACTGAAAAGAATACCTGTATAGAGAAGAACATTATAAGATTTATCATTATAAGATAGAATTTTGAAGTGATTTTTAATAGTACCTCATTTTTTATTCTGGTACCACCATGGACTAATTATTTTAATCTAGAGTTTAGTTTCCTCATCGTTATGATGAGAAAGACAATAGTTAACTACTTTTGATAGTTGTAGTGAAGATAATAAAAGATAATCCAGATTCAACTTAAAAGAATGTTTTACAAATAGTAGCATTCAAAAAGATTATTTTATACATTTTCAGTTAAGATACTTACATAGTACATGTAAGTTATTTTACAGTTAACCAATTTCTATAAATGAATATCATACATTGTCAAAGATATACAATAATATGAAAATTTAGTTTTCCCTCATATTTCCAAGTTACTTAGCAATGTGATGGTTAGATGTTTCTTTATACTCCTGGAGTGATCCTTGGCCTATACAAGCAGGTATGTATTTGTGTGTTTATTTTTTAAAAAACCACAATCACAGTGGCTATGTGTAATGTATGCTATATTAAACATTGCTTTTTTTTCTCACTGAATATTTTTGATTATCATTAGTACACATAAAACTGTCATTTTTATTTATTTTTAAAAAGCAAAGCAGAAAAAAGGGTAGAAATAATACAAACTTTCAAAAAAGCTGCAAATAATAAGTAGTTAATATGTTACATATTGTTATAAGTAGTTAGAAGTAGTTGTTCAAGTTACAAAATCTAAGCATAAAAATGAACCAATAATCAAACAATGATAGCACAAACTATTCTTTTTGATGAACTAACAGAGAATTAGCCCTATGATTGTCTATATCTTGCACACCTAAATATATAGTTATATGTGTATATCTACATGTTCTTTCCTTTTGAGCATTTTCTTTCCCTTTCATTATTACAGTGTCTACATTTTGGGTCTTACTGCTCTTTCAGTTTTTATTATTTATTTTTTACACTAGGGACACAATACAGTATTTACAAATGTGAGTGGTTTATTTCACTTATGAGTATAGTCGCAGGTTGCCTTGATGTACCTATAAAAGCCTCAACATCCTTTTTATAGCTGAATAATATTCCATTGTATAAAAATACCATAGCTTTTTCATCTGTGCTGTGGTTGATAGGCATTGTGGTTGTTTCCAAAATTTATCTATTATAAATTGTACTGCTATAAACATGGATGCACATATAACATTGTGGCCATGATATTTTCAGTTTTTCTGGGAAAATACCGAGGAGGAGAATAGCTGAATTGAATGGGACTTCCAATCCTAGTTTTTGGAGGAATTTCCATACTGGTTTCCACAGTGGCTGCACCAATCTATACTCACATTGACAGCAGAGAAGTGTGTTCCTTTTTCCCCCATAAGCCCAACAACATTTTTGTTGGTTGGTTTCTTGATGGCAGCCATTCTTTCTGGATTGAGATGGATCTCGATGGTTATTTTAATTGGCATGTCTCAAATGACCAGTAATGTTGAACAGTTTCTCATGTTGTTATATGCCATTGGTATACATCTGAGAAATGTGTGTTCATCTCCCATGCCCATTTTTGGAGTGTCCTCATTCTTTTTAATAGGGACACAGCAATCTATTATATGCTCATATCACAATATATTTACTGATAGCTATTTTTCAGTCTTCTACTGCTAAAATAATGGTGCAGTGAATTCTTTATTGCATAGTTAGAAAAATGAATGGTATTTTTTAAAACATGGATTAAACTAGTTTGATAATTCCTGAGAATCATATTGGACTCTCCTAAAAGATGTATATACCTGAACATTTACATTTTTATTTGTTTTACTCAACATGTTTAATTAATTTAAAAAGTTATTTCCACTTTAAAATTTCAATATTAATGAATATCATATTTTTGCATTTCCTAAAAGGGAATCACATTTTTTAAAAAAATAGACTAAAGAATATTTAGGGCTCTGACTTTTAAAATTATTTTACTTTTAAATAAATGTTTTACTTCTGTATTTCTTACTATATAATTAGATTAGTCTCATTAATTGATAAGTCTTGTTTTCCCAGAAGACAGCATAACAAATACTTAAATAACTTTAATATCCTTGTGTTCCCCCTTGTCATTAAAATTGCCTTGGTAAGAAGATAGCTCTTTCTCGAGGGAGGAGGGGAATCAAGAGTTGGAGGAAGTGGGAAGGGAAGGAAAGGGAAAAGGGATAAGTGTAAGTTCATGAACTGCTTAAATTGTGCACTGGGGAATACTAGCATCATCAGAAGATTCTCTAAATTTTTCAGTGTACTCAGCTTGAGCATAGTTATAAATAAACCGATTTGATGTCATAATATTTTGTAGCTATCAAATGAAAATTTAGGAATTTAAGGATTACCAACTGTCAGCGTGTTGAAATACTTCTGAGAAATACCACTTTTTTGTTCTTTCTTTTTTTTAAATAGACAATATACTGGCTATGACTACTCGCAGCAAGGCCGATTTGTCCCTCCAGACATGATGCAGCCACAGCAGCCATACACTGGGCAGATTTTCCATCCAACTCAGACGTATACTCCAGTTGCATCTCCGCCGTTGTATGGAAACAACTTCGAGGATGAGCCACCTTTATTAGAAGGTAGAACTGGTTAATACCGTCCATAATACAAGTTAAATAAGCTCTATCTGAAATGCTTGGAACCAGAATTGTTTCAGATTTTGAGTTCTTTTGAATGTTGGAAAATTTTACAGACTTCACTGGATCAATGTCTCTCATCAGAAATCCAAAATGCCTAAAATCTGAAACTGTTGTACTATTGTGTTGGTATTCACAAGTTTTAGTTTTCAAATTTTGGATTTTTCCAACTAGAGATGTTCAACTTAAACTTCATAGTACTCAACCAGTCAGTGAAAATGCTTTTTTGTTTAGAGAAGTTGTCTTTTCCTTTAAATGACAGTCTTACAAAGCAGTTTTCTACTTTGAAGAGTGTGTATAACACTATGTTGGGCCTATGGAAACCAGATTTTTCATAGACTTTTTAATAAATTGACAATAAAATGTGTTACAATACCAACTTTGGTTTTTAGTTTAGATTAATAATTAAATTCTATCAGTGGAGGAAGTGAAATAGCCTGATATTGATTATTCTACATGGAAATAAATGAACAGAATTGGTAACATTACTTAAAAGTTATATTTTCAAATTATATTTCAAAACCTATAAAATAGTTTTCTAGTGGGAGTTTGGGGGACTTTGAAGATCTACTGCAATATGAATACTTTCCAAAAAATGTACACATGTGCGTAGAAACATAGTTTTGTGTACAAGTTCATGAGGCCCTTAAGCATACCTATAGTCTCAGGTAAAGAGTTCTTAACATTAACCTTGACTGTATTTTGTTTTGCTGTACAGTAATGCACAATGATTGTATTTCATCGTATCAGTACCTTTTCCAACACTAAATCAGAAGTGATACACTTTACAAAGAGCACAGACTGGTAGTCAGAGCTTGGTAAAATAGTATGCAAGATCTTTTGATTCTGGTTGTTTCATTATGTCTCCTGTTCCAACATAGATTGTAGTATGCCACAACATAGCATACTTTCAACTACTTTCAACCTAGATTGAAAGTATGCCACAAATCTTTCTTTGATTTTTTTTCTTTTCTTTTCTTTTAGAGTTAGGTATCAATTTTGACCACATCTGGCAGAAAACACTTACAGTTCTGCATCCATTGAAAGTAGCTGATGGCAGCATCATGAATGAAACCGATTTGGCAGGACCCATGGTTTTTTGCCTTGCCTTTGGAGCCACATTGTTACTGGTAAGCTTTTAGTTTCATTTCTCAGTGCATACTTAAAGAATAGTTTTTAAGTATTTCGCCAAAAGCCACTTTTGAAACTTTGCTGGTATTTCGACAAAAGCCACTTGTGAAACTTTGCGTATACGTAAGTCTTTTATATATTTTGAAAGGCATTGAGATGGTTGAATATATACCTGTTCATCACTTCTCCACCAGGGCTGCAGTAAGTACCATATCACATATTTTAAAAATGATACGTTCTAAGTGGACACAACAAGAATTAAAAAACCAAGTAAATACTGTGTGGCTTCAGTACCCCGTTAAAATTTCCTTTTATCCTTTTTGCTTTTCTTTTTTTTTTTTTTTTTTTTTTGTCTTTTGCATTTGTATCAGTACCGGGGATTGAACTCACAACCGCCTGCATGCCGCTGAGCTAAATCCCCAGCCCCCCTTTTTACTTTTCAAAGACAATATCCTTTTCCCTTATAGCTCTTTTTTTAAAATAAAAATACCATTTTTATATGCTTTCTATTTTATTGTTTTCTTGTGATACTTTTCTATATATTTTAACTTTTAATACATTAAAACATTAAGACAAAAAACAGGTTTTTCTCCATCTGACACTTCCCCAAGAATGTTAGTTGTTTTGAAAATGATAAGAATTTATAATGATAGCTATTGTCTTTGTTTGATTTTATCATATATCTGAATTATAAGGGATAAAAAATATAAGGGTAGAAGACAGATTTTTAGTCAGAGAGCTAGAGTGGAACATGGTTCTCCAACTTTGTCCTTGACTAAATAATTTAATCCTACGGGCTAGAGGTTTAGCTCAGCAGCGTAAGTGCCTACTTGGCAAATGTGAAGTCGTGAGTTTGATTCCCGGTACCAAAAAAAAAAATCCTTTAGCTCTCTTTGATACTGATAATCTTGTGCTACCTACTAATAGGATTGTTTCAAAGATAAAACCAGACTGACTATGTGAAAATACTTTAAAAAGTTAACAATCACTATTTGAGTGTCAAGCATGAGGTTATGAGTTCAATCCCCAGTACCCCCCCCCCCAAAAAAATCACTATTCAAATAGGAGGTTTTTTATTGCTACATGAATGAATTTATCAGTGAACTAACTCAAATTTATCAGCTTTCCACATACTTTATTAAATATTTGCAATTAAATTTTGAGTCTACAAAAGTCTCAATGATTTTCCATTCATCAAAATCTATAGAGACTTTCTCAAGATTCAGTCTTGCATGACAAATTTTGAAAAACTGTTATACTTTGCATGATGCTTTACAGACTGATTTTAGTGATAGTGTAACCAGAATATATTACTTTTTCACATATCTTGGTTCAAATTTAGCTAATCTTCGCTGTCCTAAAAGTGTTTAGTGATCACATTTACAAGAACAGAATTGTTAAGTCAGTGTCTTAGGTTTTTTTTTTTTTTTTTTCTTGTTCAAAGACTGTAAAAACCAGCAATTTGGAAAAGTAATAAAAAAATATGCGATGTATTCATCTTGCATTTTCTCTCTTCTTGCTTCCCTTAGCTTCCCACTTACCCTGGTTTCTTTCCTCCTAATTTCTATAATACCATATAAAATGAATAATGAAATTATTTCTGCTGTTTGATTATGGCTGAATATCCCCATGAAAATAAGTTGCCTTGGCACATTTTGAGGAAAGAGGTGATTTAAAGTGCTATTAGAAGTTATCCAAACATTTTTAATAGCTTTCTACCTTTGTACTTTTATTTGCTTAGAGTCAACCAAAATTCCTTTTAGAAACAAACTAGAAAAGCAAATGTCTATTAGGTATATTAGGAAGAAGGCCATGAAACTTGATCTGCTTCTTTACTTCCGTGCATGAAGTATATTTATTGCTGTAGATTTTGTGATCATGAATTGAATAACTTATAAACACGTACAATTTAGGATGAAGTAAAGTCGAGATTTAATTTTTGTCTTTTAACCTGTTATCTTTTCTTTACTCACAGGCTGGCAAAATCCAGTTTGGCTATGTCTATGGGATCAGTGCAATTGGATGTCTAGGAATGTTTTGTTTATTAAACTTAATGAGCATGACAGGCGTTTCATTTGGTTGTGTGGCAAGTGTGCTTGGATATTGTCTTCTTCCCATGATCCTGCTTTCCAGCTTTGCAGTGATATGTTCTTTACAGTAAGTATTGATCTTTGTTTTAGAGTTGGACCAATTCTATGTAATAAGATTTGCTTCACCTTCTGTGTAAGATAATCATTGATTCAGTGAGATAGTGAATGATTGATTTGCTAAGGCAATGAGATAGTACATCATGTAGGGAAGAAAAGTTACATGCTTTTGGAAGATGAACAGTGAAAGTGGGAATAAGTTTTTCTTTTTGAAACTGAATTGAGCTCAGGACCTCGCGCTTGCCAGGCAATAAGTTTTGAACTCTTTTATACCATCTCTATTTTATTTGTGATGAAGAATTTTACTACTTTTAGTATTATTGACCAGTGTCCCAGCAGTAACACATTGAATAGTTGTGATCCTTAAATGGAAAAGTTCAAGTCATTACTGTTAGATCATGTCAGATTTCTTGACCTTTGGATATATGCAGAATATGTATATGCAGAATAGTAAATCTGTATTCTGTATTTGTCAAGTTAGTAAGGGGTAATTTATTTCTGTGAAGTTCTAGTCACTGTCTGCATGATCGCTCAACATTTCAAGCATATCCTTGAGGCTAGTACTGGACCAGTGACTAGGCTTTATTATACCAAGAAAATTGCACTCAGAAAGCTAACATGGAAGGGCTGAGGATATAGCTCAGCAACACAAGTGCGTGCCTGGCAATCATAAGGTCCTGAGTTCGATTCCTAGTACTCAGCACCACCAGAAAAAAAAAAAGAAAAGAAAAGAAAAAGCAAGCTAAAATGGAGGTTTAGGAGAAAAGCATATATTAACTATTTGGCTCATAATAGAAATGTGGCAGGTTAATGACTTTATTGTTTTTAAAAAAATGTTTTGGATTTTCATTAATGACTTCATCCTTCTTATGTGTTAAGAATTGACATACTAGTATTTGAATTTTAGAGAAGAATTTTTTTTTTTTTTTACTAATACAGTGTTTCTCACCCAGGAAGAGTTTTGTTCCCAAGGGATATTTGGTAATGTGTAGAGGCAGTTTTGATGTCACAGCTGGGTGTTGGCAGGATGCTGCTGAACATCCCAACAATGCACAGAACAGCTAGTACCACAAAGATGTATACAGCCCAAATGTCAGCAGTGCTGTGGTTGGGAAATCTTATATTTTAAAGGAGCAAAAATATAGTTGTAAATGAGATTTTTATCACATGGAATGACTTAGAATCATTGAAATCACTGTAGAGTTCAATTCAGCATTTGGACAAAAATTATTTCCACATACGTCTACATGTGGATTTAGAATACTTTTCTTTCAAACAAGTTATTTTAGTGTCTCACTCGTTTCACCCACTCTTTTTTTTTTTTTTTCTTACAGAGGAATGTTAGGAATCATTCTAACTGCTGGGATTATTGGATGGTGTAGTTTTTCTGCTTCCAAGATTTTTATTTCTGCATTAGCCATGGAAGGACAGCAACTGTTAGTAGCATATCCTTGTGCTTTGTTATATGGAGTCTTTGCCCTCATTTCTGTTTTTTGAACGGAATTTATCCAGAATGTGGACATTGGTGGGCCAAATACACAAGCAGGACCATGAACTCTTACATTGGACCAGCAAACTGCTGCAGGGCAACTCTCATGCAGATTGATGATAGACCGTTGGAGCAGTGGAAATACACACGTAACTTGTTCATTTTTATAAAATTTTTGAATACTCTGTTGGATTTATCAGCAGTGCACCTAGCTTTAAGTGTTTGTGCTGTTTCTTTCCTTTTCCTGTAGCCTTTGAAAAGCAGCATTTTTTCCTTACAAATCATATTATGATGTTTTTGATAGATTTTTATTAACCATGGGAAACCAACCACAAAGCTGATAAAGCTTTCTTAAGAGCAACTCATAGTAGGGAAGATACAAGACTTGTTGCAGAAATGCTTTTCCTAGGAATTAGGAAAGAAAATTGTCTTGTGTTCTCATGTTAGGAGCCCTAAGCAGAAAAAAATCCCAATGCAGAGTTTTGAGTTTGCAGTTCAAAAATTTGATATTCCTGTAAATCATCTCATGAAACTGTTGCTAACATTATTTTGAAAAGTTCATAGTCTACCTCATTGTAGACAAGAAATGTGAACTGCTATTTAGATATTAGTGTTCATTAAACCTGGACTGGTCACATTAATTGGGACTCTACCTTTCTCAAGAAAAAGATAATCACTAAATTTTTCTGAGAAAAATATAAAATTTCACAAGTTCAGTATTTCAGTTATGTATGTAAGTACGTTTGATGCATATTAATTAAAATGTTCTCAAGTAATGTTAACTGTGTTGAGTTTACTTTTACTAAACCACATTGTTCTCTGGGTCTTGAGTTCTTCAATTATGGTCTGATTTTGATTCCCATTTTTAATTTAGCTTTAAACATAGGAGTTATCTACTAAGGAATTTTTTTTTAGCTTTTTATCGATACCGAGAATCGAATTCACGACCGCCTGCTTGCAAGGCAGGTGCTTATGCCGCTGAGCTAAATCCCCAGCCCCTACCAAGGAGTTTTTAAAAGCTTAAATGAGAAGCAGTTTACTTTGAGTGACAACATTATTTTCTTAAATTTGTTTGATTTATATTGTTAGGCTGTCTTGGCAGGTAATTTATAGAAAAAGTCTTGTGTATGATCAGTGACTTTATGGCAGAATTATCTCTGATTCTGGATAAAAATATGAGAAAGTCATAAGGAGGAAAATGTTTCTTTTTTTGTTTTTTTAAGAAAGAAACTTTCATTCTAAATAAAAAGAAATGCCAGACTGATGCATTAATGGTTTTTTTAAAAGGTGAAAGATTAATGTGATCTGAAGAGAAATTCAGAATGTGTTTTTAGAGCAAGTTTTCAAGCATCAACAGAAATTGAAATAAAAGATATTTCTTGTAAAAATTTAATTTCTAATCTCTGGCATCCCGTAATTTTTTTTTTTATTCTCATCTTCTGGAGAAGCTAAAAATTTTGGCTAGGTTTTCAACTTAACGAATTGTTTCACAGTATTTTTATTGTACTCTTTGGATACTATCTTTGTCTTCCCAAATTGTCTTATAAATATAATTCTTGTTAAGGCAAGTGTATGAATGTCTTCCCGTTAGTACTCAATTCTTTCTTATGAAGAGGGTAGATGATTTTATCTTCGAAATTAAATTTCTCATTCTTGGGTAGATTTAACACGAAATTGTCAGTCAAATTGCTCAGGTAGACAAATTGTCTCCTTAATCTGCTGACTTTGCCTCACAACAAAATGATTTTTAGCTTAAAGTCATGTAGAAATTTTTTTGTTTGATAGTTCTCTTATTTAGTTCCAAAATAAAACACAAATTAATTGTTGCTCTGTCAAAATAACCATACAGTGGAGTTGGATCTAATTCAAGACCTGAGTTTAAGAGTACTTGAGGAGTCATGTGTAGCCAGTGTTTCTCTTAATAAAATTCTCCTTAGGTAAAAAATACAATATGTGTACCCATATTTATGCATACATTAAAGACTGGTATATTGTGTCTCAAAAAGTGGTATGTGGCAGTTTTTATTAGCTTTGGAATAAATGTTTCTGCAATTAAATGCTCAGTAGAACATTTCGCTTGCTTGAGGACCCATTTTATGCCCAATGTGTACCTTTTCATGCTAGATACATTCTTAGAATAGTTTAAAGTTTGCTGAGAAGCTGAAGCTCAGTGGGGTGAAAGATTGGAGGTACCATAACCTCACCCAGGTCTTGTGCTCAGTGAGTGAATGCAGCATCACATACCCTGGTATACCGCATATGCTAAAGACACGAGGTTAATTTCACACAATATAAGTGCATGTTAATTACTTTGCTGTGTTTACCTAGTATTTTTAAGAACTAACTAGATTTGTAGGAAAAGCATTCTTAAGATACAGTTAAGGAGATGCAGAGAGAATTTAAGTAGCATTGCATATTTGACATTTTCAAAGTATGTATTTTTTAACCTTGATAGACATAGTTCAATCAGAATTGTCCCAAAGCTAAGTTAATTCAGTTGTCTCATACTTTAAAATTATGCAATTATGTTTGCATTGTTTATTATCTACTACAAATAAAAGGTTACATGCCCCCAATATAAATGGAAGAATTTAGAGCTTTGATCAAAAGGAGTGTGCAGTTAGAATCCTACACAGTAGAATACTTTAACTTAGACTTCAAAAATTACAGGAAATCAGTACCACATCTGATGGTGTGTCTGATACCACAGAGCAGAGCTCATGTAGCGCCTCAGAGGAGTTGCTTCCTTTGTACTGTGGGAGGAAAAAAGTAGACACATACAGACATATACACGCTACCCAGTGCAAGACTCCCATCCAGTAACTTCCCCAAGTTCAGGCTGTCCTCACTGACCATCATTTTGTGATGTCAGATTTCAAGGACTAGCTACTAAACAATTCCAGGTTTTATAACTTCTACCTTATTTGGAAATAAGCTTGAACTATTCAGCAATGTATCAGAAAAATGTTTGCTTCAAAATATGAACTTCACTAATAAAACATTCAGAGTGAAGCAAAAACAAGTACTTTTTCGAAGACAGTTGTAAGTTAACAAGTGAGTCTTGGAGTGTATTGAGGACTTGGGAGACGGGGTGTCAGTAACAAGATCCAGTTTTTGGGAATACCGAAAGAATTGATTCATGGTGCCTTAGTGAAAGGTAAAAATGATCTGTGCTTCGCTTGTCCACCACATAGCATTTTGTTTTTGAATTAAAGAAATCTCTGTCTAGTGTAGGCTGTTACTATTCCTTTACACCACCAATGAAATAATTTTTAAAAATTAACTCTACTTCTGCACCGTACAAATTACTGAAATTTGAATTGTAGCACATTTCTCTTATTTGAATTTCAGTACCGAGTTTGTTCACTAATGTTTTATAACTGAATGATAGGTAAAATGAAATTAAATGTAAATTGTTTTCTGTGGACTGGCAAAATATTTCATCAGAAGTGAATTATTACTAACAAATTGTCAGAGTGATGGCCATGAGAACTGAAAGATGAAGTCTGATAGTATTGTGATTCTGATTTTGCATCACAGATGGAAATATTTCTGCTGCTGCTGTGCACAAAGTTCCTACCTGTGTTAATGAAGAACATTATCTGCTGGTGGAGCACAATGTCCTGTGTTTGTGCAAATAAATTAAAATGATTACATACTCAAATGAGGAGTAATTAAATACAGAACCGTTCTCTTAATTTAAAAGCACAAAATACTTTATTGAGCACATTAGGTTCTAAATGTCAAATATTGCATTTTTATGAACTTAGCTAGACTTACCTTGAATATATAAATTTGTCTTATTCCAGAGTCTGCTAAGGCACAGAATGAATGTATATTAACATGTTTTTAACAGTTTTTCAACACTGTGACACTGAATAAAGGAAAAATGAGCAAATGAAGTAGATAGAACCATTTAAAATATTTTTCAATACTTTTTTTTAGCTTAGTTGGGTTCTCTGATTCTCTTAAAATAGTGTGATTCTTTTTTCCTAATTAAAATGTAGTTCTGAAGAATGTCTTTGAAAAATCTAATGACATTTTCTTGTGGCTTTCAGTATTGTGGTCTTTGATAGTATTAGAAGACTTGGTAGATAACAATCAGTTATCCTAAAAATTATTTTTCAAAATGGGAATATCTTTATTTCCTTTACCAGCTATACCATCAATATAAAAACTACTACTTCCATGCAGCAATAAAAAGGGACACACTGATAAGCTCTCTCAACACGGATAGCCCTCAAAAATATATTAGGTCAAAAAGACCAAATACCAAAGGCCACATAGCCTTTTTCATTTATTTGAATTTCCAAGAAACTAAATTCATAAAGACTCTTAAGTTAGTACAGTAGTTGCCAGAAGGTAGTGATGGGAATTGACTGCAAATGAGCAGGAGAGAAGTTTTTGAAGGATAGGAGGTAAAATCGTAAATGTCTGTGTTTATATCTGTAAAAGAACACAGTCAGGATGGAATTTAATAGAGGAAAAAGCATCATGCTTTTGCCCAGCAGTGAAAAACCCACACTACCAAAAGTGACGTTGGTTTCAGTGTTGTGCATTTTAAATTAAGCGGTCTATTATGGGGACATTATATATGCAGAACACTGAGGTTTATTTCATGCTTTTTAATGGCTGTATATCATTGTATTACATGAGCAGAGTTTAATAATTTACTTACTCAGCCCACCTCTGTGAGACAATTGAGATCTTTCTACTTTACAGAGGACTCTTGATTCACGAACTCAATTGGTTCTGGACGGCTAGTTGTAACTCATGTTCTCAGTGGGAGGCTCAGCCTCCTCTATGCTGCCTTCAAAGTCTCTTCTGTATACAGGCGAGTCTCAGGGTCCTTACAGAGACATTAGTCCAGGATTTCTCAGTTAACCCACAGAGGAAAGGATGTAATGTTCCTTCCAGAACTCTGTAAGGGTTAAATCTGTATCTGAGACCATCTGGAAATACAAGCGGCCAGCAGTTGAATCTTAACTAAAATTTCAGTGGCTCATGTATCAGGCCAGTTGTAACTGAGGGTCCACTTTCTTCAAGTCTGAGTAATGGTGAATTGTTACTGGCATCTTCCATTCCCAGGTTATGACATTGAATAGCACTCTGGTTGTTAAGTACTGTAAACTCAATTTAAATTCTGAAAGCATTAATTTTATTTCATAGTGGCATTTATTCAATGAGCATGGCATTTTATTTGTTGAAATACAAAAATCATCCATGATTGTACAAGACTTTACTCTTGGTTCTCAATGATCTCAGCACTGTTACACTTCTTCAGCAGTGAAATGTGAATCCTTCAGACCCACTGGGTCATTTCCACACTTCAGATTATTTGTACATTAGAAAGGAAGACTTTAAAGTGTGCTCCCTTTTTCCTTGCTTATTTAGAAGACAATTCTGACAGTCATTTTTAGGTACTGCAAAGCTTTAAAAATTCAGAAATATGCTCATTTTTAATTTCTCCTTGATTGGATCTTCACACTCATTGAATTTAAACATTTAATTGAATTGTGCTTGATTATGTTAATACTCAATACTAGAGGTAAGATAAAATGTGTAGCATGACATGACAGTAATTTTGCTCAATTATACTCTAATGCCCAATTTGTTCCTATTTAAATTCCCAGGAGTTTTAAAAAATTCCAAGGAATTAAATTTTACTACAGTAAAAAGACCAAAATCGCCTCAACTCTAGATATGTACAGATAGCAGTTTGTTACATAAATTTTTATTTAGCTCTGACAGCAGAAGCTCTCAGTAGAATAATTGA